GTTGGTCCAAGTACTTAGAAATCCTTCCTTCTGTAATTGCACATGTGATGAAAGCACCAAGAATGTGGCAGCATCATTGTGCTCAACCTTCGCACTTTCAACACCAAAATCCTAATTTTAGCATAGTTAACAAAGTGGAAAACCACAGAAAGTCGACTGACCAAAAACAAAAGTCCACCCCCCCCCCCACAACCCAACCACACAGCACAACACAACAACAGCGACAACAAAAGAAAACCCTAATTGTGAAACTAGGAAAGAATTTCTCTTAGTACAAACCTCTTGTCAGGTAGAGTAATCAAATCAGATTCATTAGGCAGAAACTGGAACCAAGATATTTGATGTAGACCCCCCTATGACAAAATCATAGTAGAGATCATTAATAGGAGGATGATACAAATGTAATAAATTTTAGAGTAAACAATAAACGTATTCTTGGATAACAAGCTTCCTACACGCCGGCAGTCAGAGGAACATAAAAGGAGTTGCCTAAGTGTAGTGGAGCACATTTTTAAGAAATGGAAAAAAGTACCTGACAAATAGACGACAAATAGATTGTGTGTGTGTGTGTGCATGCATGGATGGTCACAACATAGCAGTTGAGAAGATGGTATTCTATTCATGCACTAAAAAGATCATGAATTAGCGATGATGCATTTCTATTACCAAATTACTTTGGTACCACCTTTTAGGGAGCAAGGATATTTTAGCCAAATCACCATGACACCAAGTAAGTTTTATTTCTTTGTTAAGAAGCAAACGGGAAATAGAACAATGAAAAGGCAACAAATTGTAGACACAAGCACCTCTTTAAGGCACTTATAATGAAAACTATGGAGCACAAAAGCACAACCTGCCTCGCCAATTTCCCAGCACCACCTTAGAAGCATTATTTTTTTTTATGAGAAACCAAGCTTTCATTGAGAGAAAATGAAATAATATACAAAGGGCATACAGAAAACTCCTTAATTCCAGCTATTTGGAAGTTTACAACTCCTAAGGTTAAGGTGTTCCTTTGGTCCTTAGTTAGCCCATAGAAGCCCGAACACCCATGAAACTTTACAAAAGAAGTGCAGTAGGTGGATGTTATCCCCCTCAGTGTGCAGCCTTTGTTTGAATAGCAATGAAAATTTAGATCATCTTTTCCTCCACTATCAGTTTGCAAAGAAAGGTGGCATTTCCTCTTAGACATTTTTGGGTTATCGGTTTGTCTCCCCAATCAAATAGATAGCTGGCTCTCCGAAGCTCACCATGGGTGAAACCTTCCTAAGAAGACAAAGTTTTCATGGAATTGTGCTTCGAGATCTCTTATGTGGCATCTTTGATTGGAAAGGAATTCTCGTATTTTTTAAGATAAGTCTTCTACTTTCGACATTTTTTTGTAGGAATGTACAGCACACCACCTCTTGGTGGTGCATCAATTATAGAAAATTCTTTTGTAATTACAACCTTTCCATGGTCATGAACAATTGGAAAGAGATTGTCTAGCTCCTTGGACGAGG